TTATGTTTATTAAGTACAAGAGTTGTTTATTAGCGGCACAAGGGCGACGGCAGAATAAATGCAAAAAAGATGACGCAGAACAAACCCAGGCCAGTTGGTATAACCTTAATCGACGACTTCGCAACGACTTAGCGACGACTTCTTAGCGACAACTGTAGCGACTGCTTAACTATTTTCGGCAATGCAAAGCTGCATATGGAACGACAAAGAAGTAACAAAGTGATAAATGATAAGCGAAAAGAAGAACAAAGCGATGATTAAGGGGATTGCCTCGCAGGGCAAGAGAATTTAAGAGAATTGCCTCGTAGGCCAGTTCACAATAGTTTTTAGTTATGATGTTAAGAAAACAAAAGCGATGTTATTTAAGTTGTTTGGGCTGGACCAAACATTCTCCCCCGCCGGAAGGCCAGGGCTTTCAACATCATCCTTCGTAGGCAAAGGCACAGTTTGGCGACAGCTCTCTTGGTTAATCCTGTTGCGGGTATTCAGGACAGCGACCTGACAGATTTCATCCTTCCCCTTACCAGCTCTAGCACTAATGAGCTAATGGCCATTTAAGCGGTGGTAGATTTTCATCCTTGATGAGACGACATCGTTGATCTGCAGACTGGGTTGGGGAGAACGCCACTTGGATCTCTGCTGAAGGAGCGTCAGGTACTCTTCACGCCATCGTTTCCAAAAAGTTTCCTGCAAATAAGAAATTTTCAGCCAACGATCAAGTCGGTTGACATTTAGGTTGGTTAGAGATGCGGTTCGCTGAAGCTGGTAAGCAGGACCGCCAGTTAAAAAATGTGCTGGAGTCAGGACATCAAGGTCTGCTGGATCCTCCTGATAGGGCAGCAGCGGTCTAGAGTTGATGATGGCCGAGATCAAAAAAACGATGGTGCGCAACTCATCAAATCCTAGTGCGGAGTGCGAAATAATGCGATAAAGATGATGCTTGGCTGTCTTAACTGCGGCCTCCATAAAACCTCCAAAATGTGGCGATCTGGGTGGAATAAATTTCCATTCATTGATGGACTCTGATAGACAGAAACTCTAGATTGTCTTCAAATGGTCTTCAGCTAAAAGTTTGGTAAAGTTGGTAGCATTATCAGATTAAATGCATTTGGGACGACCTCTTGTGGCAATAAATCGTCTGAGGGCTGCCAAGAATGTTGGTGTGGATAAATCAGCAACCTAATTTTATACGCGCTGCCTTGGTTGCAAAGCATATAAAAATACATATGTAACATTTCAACGGCTGGCGTTTGCGTCCTTCAGGCTTTTAAAGGAATGGGCCGCAGTAGTCCACTCCAGTGACAGTGAAGGCCTTGCAAGAATCCACGCGTTCCTTTGGCAGGTCTGCCATAACGTACTGAAATGTGCTTGGCCGAGCACGACAGCAGCAGATGAACCTGGTGACCACAGCAGCGACTGTTCTTCTCCCCGATGGGCCAATAGTGGAGTCTGATTTTGGCCAACAACGTAGAGGTCCTGCGTGAAGGCTTTCTTCGTGGAAGTGCTTGATGGGTAAAGCTTCCTGGGCAGGATCATTGGGATGTCGAGAGTCCAAGGGTAGACTTGAGTTCGATAGTCTACCTCCGACTCGTAGAAGACCAAAATCGTCAACAAATGGCGACAGCGATGACAGGCAATTTGATGGCTTCAGGACATGGTTGGCCTGAATTGCTTTAAAATCAGCCCCACATGACAGCTCGCTGCACAGCTCGGAACTAGGAGGCGTGTACCATTTCTGTAAATCTGAAACAGTCAGAGTGGGTGATCTAAGTCGAAACAAGAATTTGTATATGTATGAAAAAAGTCCGCTGCATAGCTGAAAATGAATTTTCAAACTTGCACTTAGATGTCAGATCAATGGGTGACGTCAAAACCAAACACGAATTGCCTTGCGCAGCCCAATCTATCCAGCTGGATGGATCGAGGTAGCAGCAAAGAATGAAGGACTCATGAAACCAGAGATCGGACGCGTTCAATTCCATGGGCAAGGCTCCTCTGGATATGATGTCAGCAGGATTTAGTGTAGTAGGTGTGTGAAGCCATTCCATTCCGGTAGACAGTCTTTTTGAATGGATGCTACTCTGTTAGCAACGAAAGTTGTGAATCGGGATGACTCACTATTTAGCCAAGCTAAGACTACGGTTGAATCGCACCAGCAGAAGTGTGGACCTGAAAATATATCGCAGCATAGATGATTGGCTAACAGAATCGCTCCGCATGGTTCAAGCTTCGAAATCGACAGAATCTTTAAGGGCGCTACTCGAGACTTGGAACACAATAGTTGGGCGTTGGATTTGTTAGCAGATCTGGATACAATATACGCATGCTCTATGGGCGGACATGCTAGCATCGCAAAACCCATGAATTTCGATTGATCCCTTTGGTAGTAATGCAAATCTGGGAAAAGTCGTCCTTTCTACGCTGCTAAACTGAAGGCACATACTGGACCAGGATGAGCTTAAAGATTCGGGCAAGCTTTCATCCCAGTGTAGCTTCTCCTTCCAGAGCTCCTGTAAGAAGATTTTGGCCTTGGTTATAACGGGGCTTATGAGCCCAAGCGGGTCATAAAATCGGGATACTGTCGAAAGCACAGAACGTTTGTTTGGCTTGGTTATGGACTGCGTAGGCAAGTAAGAGAAAAGAAGGACATCTGATGCAGGATCCCAAGCCAATCCGAGAGATTTTGGTTATGTCACTTCCATCGTGAAACTTCAGGAATGTTTCTTTCTCCTTTTCTGGAACATTTTCGAGAACGACTGGGATATTGGAGCACCACTTTCGAAGCATGAAGTGGCCTTTCGCTAGCAAGTCCTTCGTTTGATAAGAATCTCCTCGACTTCTTCAATGGAACTGCCACCTGTGATCAAGTCATCAACATAAAAATCACGTCTGACGATTTGAGACCCTACAGGATATTTCGACTGCTCATCCATGGCCAACTGATGCATCGCTCGAACTGATAGAAAGGCGGCGGGCTTGGTACCGTATGTTACGGTATCCAACTTGTAGATGCTGATGTCATCCTGATCAGAATCGCGCCAAAGAATGCATTGCAAACAGCTGTCTGACTTGGCTATTCGAACACAGCGATACATTTTCCCAATATCTCCAGTGAGAGCAACTGCAAAGGTACGAAAACGGATTAAAATATTGAAGAGCTTAGCCTGTAGGGTAGGTCCTGCCATCAACGTGTCATTCAACGAAATTCCAGATGATGAAGCTGCTGATCCATCAAATACGACACGTAGCTTGGTGGTCGTGCTATCTTCCTTAAAGACGCAATGATGCGGAGGAAAAAATCTGCAGTGCTTTCTATCATCTGGCGGGACAAGCGACATATGATTGAGTTCCAGATACTCCTTTATGAAGTTAGAGTATTGTTCCTTGACATCAGGATGGCGTTCCAGTTTTCGCTCCAAGTTGAGAAAACGGCGAAATGCTTGTTGGTATGACTCTCCAAGTCCATCGATTTTTCCAGTTTTCGGTAGCTGAACTTCGTATTCACCAGTGGGTAGTCGAACGAAGGTATTATGGAAATGGTCCTCGCATTCCGTTTCTTCTTTGGTGAATTTCGAGCTTTCCAAAGGACAGGATTCTAATTCCCAAAATCGCTGCAGAAGATCATCAATTCGATCTTCAGGCTCTGGCATTTTACCTGAAGTTGATTGAGAGGCAACGAGACTGTGGCTAGTTTGTGTCGTGCCACCAGAGACAACCCATCCAAGTCGAGTTTTTTGAAGAGCTGGGAAGATGGGGGGCAAGCTTGATTTGTCCGATACATAAAACGTAGAACAAACTTGCTCCTATGAGAAGGTCAATCCTCTTCGATTTGTTGAATTCCGGGTCAGCCAATGGTAGATTTGACGGGATATTCCATGGCGATGAGTCGAAATTGAAATCAGGCTGATCGTTGACAATGGAGGATGCAACCACGGCTTCAATACTTGCAGAGTAATTGGTAGAGTTGGATGATATACTCAGCTGGACAGCATAGCCTGTAGTTCTGAAGCTAGAATCTCCAAGACCAGATAAAGCAGCAGCAGATTTAGTCCTTTTGAGCTGAAGGAGGTGCACGAATCTAGATGTTATAATGTGAACTTGCGAGCCTGAGTCGGAATGGCACGACAAGGTATTGGACTACCAGCTCTGTTTTTAATAAAAACATTAGCAGTTGCCAAGAGCACAAAGTTGCAAACTTGAGGTCCTTCGAAAGAGGAAGAAGCTGAGTCAGAGGGCAGCGTGCAAGCCAGTGAGTACTGATTTGGAAGAACCTTGAGCCATATTTACTGGGGTCAGCGAAGGCTGAGTTGGCGATGGCATTGCAAATGACGGTGGTGCGTCTCCCAAATGAAGCAATGTATGATGCTTGGATCCACATTTCCCAAAAAGATGCCCGTCTTTAAGGAATTTATGCACAAGGACATCTTCTTTACTTCCTTCAGCCTTAGTGCTGGGGAAAGATTCCCAAATCTCGTGCACGTATATATGGGGTCGCCAGTATCGCTGCAGAATCGGCATCGTGATGGACTGGCAGCTAGTAGGGCCTTGCTAGAACGATTTTGCCTTCCAGATGAGTTGCTGGATGAATGGGTAGCCATGGCAAGCTCCACATTCTCTAGCGTCTGGCAACGTTCTTTCCAGAAACTTTGAAAACTCCTCCCACGATGGTATTTTTCAACAGAGCACGATTCCTCCCACTTGGCTTGGGTAGATGGATCCAGCTTTTGCACCAAGGCTTGAACAATGAAGCAATTTGCAATTTGCTCTTGATCGCCCAATGCTTGAAGAGCCCGCATGTGACTGATAAGCCCATCAGAGAGTTCTCTTAACTTGCCAACTGACCCAGCTTCGATCGTCTTTAGGCCAAAGATTTGGCAGCATGTGCCTGAAAAACAATGCGTTTTTATTAAATCTATTATTTAATACATCAAGAGCGATACTGTAGTTGCTGTCAGAGATTTCCAGTGATTTTATGGTGTCAGGGCTGCATCCTGAGGCAGGAGCGCAGGTGCTGCAGTTTTTCGATGTTGGAAAGGCCAGGATCCTTGTCGATGATCGTCGAAAACATGGCATGGAAATCGGCCCATTGAGTGTAGCCGCCACTAAATGTTGGGAGTTTAAGATCCGGCAATCGAGATTTTTGAGTTACAAAAACCGAATGAGACGAAAATGGCTCTTCTGCACGAAATGTTGAGGATAAAGGCACAGTCGAATTGCTTTCGAATTCCACGGATGCGGACCTTTAGGGGGCTATAAGTTCTTCGAAATGATCTCGTAATGGGCTACCGATTTCACTGTAGTCTTACTTTTCTAAGTTGTCATGAGCCAGGCAGAAACAATCACTCAATTTATTAACAAGGTCTTCCCGCACACTAAGATCATTGTCACACATGCCTCTAAGCATTTCCACTGTTAATTGCTTATTTATTGTTTCGGCACGTTGCCAAATTGATTCGGCTTTAAGCTTAAAAAAGGTAGCTTGAGTTTGAGGCGAAAGGGTTTTGTCTTCTACCGACATGTTTCACTTAAGGCAAGACACCCTGTACATAACCAAACGAACGTAGCACAAAAGGGAGAAAAAACACGCGATAATACCGCAAGCGAGAATTGCACAGAGGGCAAAATGCCACGCGGCCAATGACCTTCGACTTACACCGATTCAATTTTTATTAATTTTATAATTAAATCACTTTAAAAGTTGTGATTATCTCGCCGGGGCCTGCAAAATGTTGAGTTAGCGAGCTTTTCACTAACTATTTTGGCAAGATAACACAAAGATTTAATTTAGTTTTATAAAGGTTTATTTAGTTAGCTTCATTAATTATAAAAAGTTTTGTTTCAAGTTTATTCACTTATGTTTATTAAGTGTAAGAGTTTATTTAGCGGCATAAAGGGCGGCGACAAAATAATACGAAAGAATGCGCGGACAACCGAATTGGTCGGAGCGTTAAATGCAACGATCTAGCAACGACTCACAACGACTGACAATCATGAACACTATTTTCGGCAATGCAGCCGCATGAGCTTGATGAAAAAGCACGAATGATAATGATAAGCGAAGAACAAAGCGATGGTTAAGAGAATATCTCAGGGCAAGGAATTGGGTGAGAGCTGCCTCGCAGGGCAAGCTGAATTTGGTGAGTTGTTTCGCAGGGCAAGCGAATTTAAGAGAGTTGGCCTCGCAGGGCA